GTGTTTCTGTTGTTCTGCCTTGGTGGGGAGGGGGGGGGGATGGGGGGGGGGATGATGACGTCCATGCGAATGCGGTTTGTTCTGTTGTGTTTCTGTTGTTCTGCGTGTGGGGTTACAGATGACGCTGATTCTGATGTTGATGCTATTCATGTGCTGTTGCCTATGTTGATTGTTACTGCCGCAGAGAAGCATGCCGATGACAATCCTGAGCTGATAACATTGATGACCATGAAAATGACAATGTTGCTGCCATACAAAAAACTCGCGGCTTTTGCCCTTTCCATACAAAAACTTTCAAAATGAACCCAAAAATCAAGCACCAGAGACAACGAAAAGAACGGTAATTGCGACACTTTTGCAAAAACTTGACCAACAATACGAGACGAAAAATTTAGAAAAATACATGCTCCCAAACAACCTCCATGTTCACGAAAACCGCACAAATGCCGACACTTTTCGGCTTTGACCCCAAAAACGTCCCAAAACATAAACGACACACCCCGCACGGCGGCAAACACACGTGTTCCCTTGTTGTTGTTGTTGTTGTTGCTGCCGTTGTTGTTGTCGTATAGGCAGGTATACCAATGGTGGGAGCGTGGCTTGGACATTGCGAGGAGAAGGGACTGCAGGCACACGGATAGGCGGCAAAAAAAAACAATACCGGGGTCCCTGCAGGTTCTCATTCCTCCTTCCCCACTCCTAAATGTCGCTTGCTTCTTGAGCCTTTCGTTATGCTACGTTGATTTTCTCAGCAATATCACGGTTCTCCAACATGTGATCATTGGGAACATCTTTAACTTCGAACTCCATAATCCAATACTCGAACAATAAGAACCAGAATGGTATCATGGTTGCATAGCAACAAGAAGTTTATTTTCCTGTAATTAATGTCGTACCTCATTGCAAACATGTTTTATGTTCAAGACACAACCGTCGAGAATACACACCGCCAGGGCGGTATATACTGTGAGATTACACGTGTATAGTCACAGACATATGCACAGCTTGCTTGCGCATACGCGCACATATACATATATACGTACGTATGTACATAGACATATATGCATATATATATATATATATATACACAGTATGTGGTTCCGTGTCGCGTGTCGGTACCCCCCCCCCACCACCCCCCCCTGGTATCCCCCCTGGTATACACCCGAAATCCTCGTGAGGGTCGTCACTCTTGTTTCAAAAGTGCCAACAGTCACAGGGATGGGCACCCCGAACCCGGGATCCTCGTCAGTGTTGTGGCTTTTGAAGCTATGCAACTTCGCGGCATGTGCAAAGTGGCGACACTCAGCGGGTTGGGCCATGGTTTCGGTCTGCGCAGCACTCAGCTGCTGACCCTCAACCCTAAACCCTTTCATATCTGTAGACCTAAACCCTAAAGAACCCCACCATCCACGCCACAGGGAGGGTGCGGGTGCAAACCTTAACCCTAAACCCTAAGGACGGGGCTTTAACACTAAACCTGAAACCCATCCTGAAACCCAATACCAAACAAAACACCACATCACAGACGGGGGGGGTGGGGGTGGGTGGCTTAAATAGGGTGGGGGGTAGGGGGGAATACCATGGGGTGGGGTGGGAGGGGGGTTGGGCGACACTGCACCCTGTATGGTTGCGCCTCTGTGTTTGCTCAATAAATATTCACCTACCTGTTCATTCGTTTCATAGGCACAACTCATTAGCACGTATAGCCATACGCGGCAGTTCCTTGCATATTTGTTTGCTTGCATGTTGTGCATACGCGTACACAAACACACCTTCAGAGTCCTTGGCTTCTGGGAAGCAGTTCATGGGCTTTGGAACCCTTGCCCACTGTGCCTCCAGATGGCAAGGTGAAGATGCTGCTGACGGGAATGGCAGAAGGCAAGGAGCCTTCCGAGGACAGTGTCTGGCCTGTAAGACGCACGCATCTCATGTCATGTTCATGTTCCTGTTCATGGTCACGGCCATGGCATGGCATGGCATGGCATGGCATGGGATGTCTTATCATAAGTGTTTATGGTTATGTGGATATGTGATTATTCATGCATATGTGAATATATGTCTCTATATATATACACATACATATATAAATATATATATATATATGCAGTTCACAGTTATATGAATAATATGTGTTTGTATGTTCATACGATTACATGTAGGTCCGTGTGTGATGGAGTTGTTTATGTGTAGGTGCATGTACATGCATGTATATGTACATGTGTATATATATATATATATTTTTTTTATTTGCGGATGACATATGTACGTATGTATGCGTTTGTGTGTACGTATGCATGGATGGATGCGCGCATGCATGTATGTCTGTATTTGTGTATGCATGCATCATATGTGTATATATATATAGAGAGAGAGAGAGACATATATATATATACACATATACATATATATATATATAAACGCACACA